GATTAATGCAAATTAGTAAATTACTAGTACATACATGACTTGCTGATGTCAGACAATTTCAGTCGGCGGCTATCAATAATTGAGGTTACGTGGATATAAAAGATGGCTTTTTCTTATTTGATTAAGAACCCAATAAGGGCTCGTTATTTTTCCTAGATACTCCCTACTAACATATGAACAAATCCTCAACATTTCAACGACATTTTAATATTTGCATACATAACCATAACTGCTAAAATAAACTTACAACTTACTCGTTGTAGGTAGTCCACGATGGACTACCAAAGGCTTCTTTTCAAAGTCAGAGATCAATCAAGCACCCCTCAATTAAAACATTTATAATGTAATAAACCATGACAATCTTGGATCTAAGGATCTCACACATAATATATGTAAGGCCAAAAAATAAGGAGATGATTTCTACCGCTCTCAGGGCGATACAATCCATGAAAAAAGTTATTCACAATTTGTTCACACGCTTTGTTGGATATATACACTAACGACTTAGTAAATGTGACCATAAATCAAAAGACATTTTCGTCCAGTAAAAAATGCACACATGTATGCTTTGGTAAACAAATCATATGTGTCAGATCAAATAAAAGACCATGTTACTTCCATATGCATATTGCATCATTCAAATGTTCACAAACACAAAACTAGTACAATTAAGATATCTATGCTCTGTAGTACAAAGTAATGCAATTTGTGAAAAGTAGTACAGTCCCAACGAGCTTTTCTTATTCTAATGTGCAAAGATACAATGTAATAAATTCATATGCTAAAAGGAATATATCTGAACATACATCACAAGATAGATACCATGTTGTTTGCGTCACTTCAACAATATATCTTTGACGTCCACCCGTGGAATAGCTCTGAGCTGCAGGTCATATCTTCGTCTTATTATTAATCCAAATTTCTCAGACATGTCAAATGAAGTCAGACAAGCCCCTTCAGGAAGCATCCAATTGAAGTGATACAACATGTTTGCCAATGTGATGTGCACTGTCGACATGCCAAAAAACATCCCAGGGCACTGTCGCCGCCCAGCCCCAAAGGGAATAAATTCAAAATATGTCACATTATAATCCATATTGTTGTTCTCAAATCTCTCGGGCTTAAACTCTTCAGGCTTTTCCCAATATCTTGACTGGAAATTGCGAAGACATTAACTAATACATTGGTGCCTTTAAGCATGTCATAACCCATAATATTGCAATCATCTCTAGCCATGCGGGGGACTAGAGGAATGGGTGGATGCAACCTCAGAACCTCCTTGATGACCATCCTCATGTAGGGGAGTTTAGCAATGTCACAATTGGTAATGATAGCTCGGTCTTCACCAAGCACCTCTCGGACCTCTAGTTGTGCTTTAGTCATGGCTTCGGGATTGTTCACGAGTTCCGACATAGCCCACTCCAAAATGGTTGTGGTGGTATCCGTACCACCAGCAAACATGTCCTAAAATGATGATCATGACATGTACAATTATAAATTATACATATTGAAGTGGAATTTAAAGCCAATAGCGCCCACAATGTTATATTATCAATACTATGCTATATAGTATATTTGCCAAGGGCCAAGACAAGGATAACTTCCACATAACTTGTTTAAGAGTTAGGTGTGTATTCTTTTCTATATATTTATGTGTCATGTTGGATCATGATTTATATTGACTTTCATGTTGTAGGGCGTGTAGTGCTTGTGCTCATTGAACCAAACATGCACACGTTACCAAAATTTCAGGGCATTTAGCTCATGCCTTAAAACTCCACACTCCTGGCCAACCATGTCTCACACAACAATTTATCCTCCTTCACCGAGTACGTTGTCATCGTGTTTGTTTCAAAGTAAACAATGAGAAAAAAATGGCAATGCCATTTGGCCGGACACTTGTCAGTCATGGTGTCCTCCCTGGATGGCGTTGGCAGGGGGCGAAGGATACCTGGGTTGAGGTTGGATCCAGGGTGGAATGACATCATAGTCCAAAGAGAGCGGCGCGGTCGAAGGCGGAGGTTCGGCAAGGCCTGGGTGGCAGCCGGGGTGGTACATCGGTGGCAGTGGCCTCCAAGGGTGCAGATACAGAGCACAAGGGGAGGGTCAGAGTGGGAGGGAGGGGTGGCTCCGGGTGGGGTATCCCGGGGTGTCGGAGTCAGACGTGGTGGACATCCAGACTCCCCCAAACCTCTCTCAAGTTTGGTGACCATCGTTGATAACAAAAATTATCTGAACTGTCCGATTCAAACATTTGAGGCGAACTGATGATCCGCGTCGAAGTTGCCCTATGGGAAGACCAAAGAAAGGAATAGATGACATAACCTTATCTGTATGTTTGCGGGATATCTTTATATATTTTTAAAGTAAATGAGAGATTGTATTCTGTTTTTGGTTAATATATAATAGAAAAATAAATAGATAGATAGATAGATAAGAAAGAAAGTGATATGCTGGTAGAGAGATGGTCAGTAAATCGGCAACCTAATACTTCTGTGTTTTCTTGGAGTTCCAAGAGCATATTTTCATTTCTGTTGTATTGTGTTAATTGTGTTTTAGTTAGTTATTAGTACTACTTTATAATAGGGGGGGAATAGATAGATACTACTCGGCTTGTAAAGTAGGAGTACTTACAAACATGACGGCGCCTATAATCTCTGTGGTTAGAGGGAATTCCAACGAGTCCTCGGCTTGGAGCCTGAGCAGCACTTCCAGCAGGTCCTCATCGTCGGTGCTGCAGGAGCCATCGCCGGCAGCTCGTGCGGCCTTGCGCTCGTCGAGGATGTCAGCGATGATGCTCTGCATACGGCCGTAGCTCCTCCTCATTCGCCTCTCGACGCTGCTAAGCCACCGCACCAGCCGCGACGAGGGGAAGATGTCGACGAGGCAGAAGCCGGTGACGAGCTCCATGGCCTCGCCCAACTCGCGGATGTACTTGTCCCGCTGCGCGACCTTGCCGCCGAAAACCGCCCGCGAAACGACATCGTTGCTAAGCATCGCCACCTTCTCGCTGACGTTAACCGTAGCGCCGGCGCCGCCGCCGGCCGAGGCGCTGACGATGGAGCGAAGGAGGTTGCCGATCTCCTCGGTCCTGACGCGCTCCATGCGCCTCGCCTGCTTGGAGCCGAGGATCTCCATGACGCACACCTTGCGCATCTGGCGCCACGCGTCGCCGTAGGGGGCGAAGGCGATGTCCTTGCCGCCGCTGCCGAAGATGTCCTGCGTCACGGTGCGCGGCCGGTCCGCGAACGTAAGGTCGTTGGTCTTCAAGACCAGCGCCGCCACCTCGGCGCTAGAGACCACCATGGTGGCGACTTCGCCTAGCCTGAGGTGCATCAGCGGCCCGTGCCGGCGAGACAGCTCTGCAATGGTGCGGTGCGGGAAGGCGCCAACGACGTGGAGGAGGCTGCCGACGATGGGGAGAGTCCATGGGCCTGGAGGCAGCTTCTTATTGGGGTTGTTCCTGCGACGGGAGAGCTCGAGAAACCAAATTGCCAGTAGCGTGGATCCGGCTATGAAACACAAGCTTAACCACCCCTCCATGGCAGGCAGCTTGTTGGCTTGCACCTTGCAGAGACGTGATGTGCTTTATATGTATGTACTACTAGTAAGTGACGGCCTCGAAGTTTGGTTGGCATGTATGCAACTCTGGAGCATCATATCGTCAAGCCAAACTAGTAAAATATGATAGCTGTTGAGTAGTAGAAACAAATACAGTAGGGATGGACTTTGATGGTCACCTATGTCGTGGTCCGTTGGAATTAAAAGGGAATATATATACCCCCTCCCTTCTAAATTAAGTGTCCCGATCTTAATGTAATTTTGTACTACAGTTAGTATAAAACTGAGACAGTTATTTTTATTTTGGAAGCGGAGGGGTATGATATAACGTCCGGTTATGTATATAGCCTGCCATCAGCTGCTTTGATGCAAAATAATCACCTCCGTGCGGAGACAGAGAGGGAGGAAGATCGCTGGAGAAAATAAAAGACAATCATGTAAGACAATGGCGATCATAGCCAGTACTTAGTTCAATAATCAACAACCAAAGTATGTAATTAAATGTCCGCTACTCTACAACTTTGCTCTCCCAGGCTGCAGCATGAGAATGGTATGGCATAGGCATTTCATCAATCACATGCACATGTGTAAGGTGATTCCTTGGTTCAACTGTTGTCATGCATGAATGAACTATATAAAGCAGAGAGGCCAATCACAATCAGAATAAACCTTTGAGGCCCTGTGTGGCTCGGTTAATTAAGGAGCACCCGCGGAGGCCTGAGCGCTACACCCGTATGCGGACGAATCTTTCTCCAACTATGACGACTCATAATTTTATTTTATTTTTTTGAGAAAAATGACGACTCATAGATGATGGGATGGAAAGTGTCCGAGCACGTGAAGAGGACTACATTTGAGAAGGGTGGGGCTGGGCCTAGGAAAATATAGAGCCGGTCAGCCTGTCGCCTGCGATTCCTTTTTCAATCTACTCTAATTGCTCTGAGGATGGAGAGCAAATCAGTAGGGACTAGGCACTAGGGTTGGTAAGGATGCAATGGGTACGGTACGGTATGGGTGGTCACTACGAGCACAACAATACATACCCATGTTTTTCAATGCCACAAAATCCTACCTATACCCTGCCCATCTAGGGTAAAATCATGCACATGCCCATACTCTACCCATCAGCGAGATCAACATAATAATGAAGGGTGGTGGCGTAGTTGCCAGCTCCACGTGTAGTGTAGGTGCCAACGAAGAGATTTCTAGGGTTGGGGAATTGGTGATCGGAAGGAGGATGGGGGTGGAGTACTGTTGGGGGAGTGCGGCTGAGGGTGGAGCCGTGGAGGTGGACTATGGTCTGGCCTTCTAGAACTTTGAAACTTATAGATACTCGGTAGCTTAGGGTTTATATATATATGGCACCTACTCCCTCCGTTCCTAAATACTTGTCTTTCTAGAGATTTCAACAAGTGACTACATACGGCGCAAAATGAGTGAATCTACACTTTAAAATATGTCTACATACATCCGTATGTTGAGTCCATTTAAAATGCCTAGAAAGACAAGTATTTGGGAACGGAGGGAGTATAAGATAGTCGGATAAGGTTTCATGCATATCCAAGAGCACAAAATTGTGGAATATCATACATTCTTCGCTCGCTGCGAAGAATAGTTTCATGCGAAGGTTTCATGCATATCATCAATCATAGTGGTGGATTAGGGGCGACCGCGTGGCCCGGCCCATCTACACACTGGTGATACAACGGGTTTCTTTAGCTTCTCTAAGTGTATTTCCTCTTATTGGTTTTTGGTCTTTTTTCTGTTCTTTCGTTGCCCTGTTTTTTCTTTATTTATTTTATTATTTAAAATTCATGAAAATGTTAAAATTAGTGAATATTTTTTATCTGTGAACAATTTAAATTTTTTTCTTAAACATTTATTTATTTATTTTGACATTTTTTAAATTTTGTAAGCATTTTTAAAATCATGAATAGTTTATAGTCTATGACTATTTTCCAAAATTCATGAAGATTTTTTTAACTCGTGAATATGTTTTCGAAGTCCACAAACATTTGTATACCACATGAGCACTTTATTGAATATAATAAAATAATTATATACTTTAACTAGTTTTTGACAAGATTTTCTAAATAACGTTAAAAAGGGCAAAAAAATTGAGCAACTGACTTTTCCACCTTTTTTCCTTCAAAGCAAAGAACGGATGAGTAAACCATAGCCAAGTGAACACCATCCGTAGGAAACTAGTAGTTTTTAATCGTGAAGGATAGGAGGACCCCAAAATTGTACTAATGTTCAACCACCTAGTTAGGTGGGGTTCCTGCTTCCCTAAAAAGGGTAGGTTCCCTCACTGTCGATGGACACAAAAATCTATCCATGATCCACCCATGCAAACGGAATATGCATGCTCATGGATAAATTGCCATCCTTAATAAGATACAGCGGACGCAGACATCACAAGAAGAATGATTTGTACAGAAATAGCAAAATCGAATTGATATATTCATATATATGCATGTTTCAAACACATAACAGAAAACCACGAGAAAAAACTTAATACGAGGCTAATTAGATGAGCCCGACGAATAATGCTCATACTATATCATTTTTTTTCTATCGGACTTGAAAGCGGGTTGAATGCGGTGCAGATACAGGTTGGAATACCAGATTATGGCGGATTTGAACGTAGTATGGTAACAGGCGAGACTCTGATCAGAAACGGAAATATAACATATGCATATATACATGTTCTCAACTAAAATCATATGTAAACAAATGAATGATTATTAGTACTTATGAACTTTAAGCACACATAGAGCCTTAAAAGGACCAAAATAATCTAAACTAACAACTAACAAGCATGTCTGATAAGAAAATCAACATTCACATACTGCTAGTTAATACTTCAAGTTTTATCAATAAATTGGATAATGGTATTTACAACATCAGATTATCCGGCTAAAATGGATTATCTTGCATAATTGTATATTACCACTCCATCGGTTTCTTCTTACTTCACATATCAGCTTTGTTGTAAGTCAAACTTTTATGAAATCTTACCAAACTATAGTATATACTAAGAAAATCGACATATAAAATACTAAATAAAAGAATATGCAATATATATTCCATGGTGAATCTAACAATATTGATTTGGTATTGTCAATGTCGATCTTTTTACAATAAACTTGGTCAAACTTCAGAAATTTTGACTTAAAACTAAACTAATATGCGAAATAAAAAGAAACATATGAAGTAGTACCTTATCTATACCATATCATATCAATCTAAGTCGGATATGGATTGGATTGTGGATGGATGTCATAATCTCTTAACATTTTGTACTTTGGGATTCAAAAATAGTTTTGTTCATAAGCTATCCTAACCACTTTCACCCTTAGCATAAGAAGCTAAGGTTTTGAGCGGAAGTTGGAGATCGCCGCCATTGTAGCCGTTGGCAGGCCGACATGCAGGCGAAGGCCAACGTTGCGAACACGCCAATGGAAGAGGCGGTCGACATGAGCCAGCGCCTTCGTCCTCGTTGGCCAATGACGGCATCACCATGGGCGGGGGTTCTGCGCACTACACCGAGATGGTGTTGGAAGAGCGGTTGGCCGTGTTCCCACATACGCAGGTGGACCATAGTACAACCTCCGCCTCCTCAACGAGCAGAGTAGCAGTGCCGCCACACCATCACGCCAGACGTGGACGTGCCTGAGCAGGAGGCGCTTCTCGACTCCTGTCACACCGCCCGCGACATCCGCCGCGACCGCTGGCGTTACCACCTCGGAGTTGGAAACCGCCTCCATCAAGCGGAGATTGACGAGGCGACTGATGAAATGTACGGCAAGAGTGAGCACAAGGACGAGGACGCCAGCACCACCATGGTCGCACCCCGCCGTCACGACCATGAAGCCGACACGTCCGCGGGCACCAGCGGCAACTAGGAAGGGTAGAGTATGTGAGGCCGCCGGTGCACGGGTCTCAGGAGCCACCACTCCTCCCCTCCTGTTGAAGGCAAGCTTGGTCGGCTCACCACCGTTGATTGATTAGCTGCAAGCAGGCTGCGGAGGCAGAGTTCCATTTTCCGGGCTCATGGCTGGCCGGACATGGGGAATGGGCGTCGGCGGTTATTTTAGGCTATGTTTAGAGTCCGGTCTAGTTCAAGTATGTCGAAATCATCCGGTTTTATGTAAAGGTTATTCAAATATGATTGAATATCGTCAAGTTGTTCAAATGTGCATTGTTCAATTTCATTAAATTTCAACGGGCGTTGAAATGCAATTGGACGCATGTGGCTAGCTTTGGAAGTCCCGTTGTGCATCAGTGTCCGTGGACTGGTCCCTCGGTCCGCGCACGAAAAAGGTGTCCAGTTTGCGGGTCGCTGTTGGAGATGCCGCTAACAATATCATTTCTGTTCCCCTTAATAAAACAATATCAATTTTGTACTCCATTCGTTTGAAATACTCCCTTCGTTTGAAATTGAAATTATTTATTTCTGCAACAAGTAATTTGGAAGGGAGAAGTAGTATGTAGGGCAATGCATTTAGTCTTGAAAGAGTGTAAAAGTTGTACTTCCTATTTCCTATGTAAAGAAATATGAAAGCGTTACGGAGGGAGTATATTCTTTACATTAAGTTCATGACGTCATGTCTGATTGATAGGCAGTAGATGTAAAATTGGGTGATTGAAATGCGGTAATGTTGTTTCTGGGAGGTGGATCGATCGAGGTCTGAGGAGTCCATGCTTTGGCACGTGACTCCTTTGTAGAGTATGTATGTATTCCGATTCCGGTGGAATGTTATGGGCACCGGACACGGAACGAACATTAACAGGTTCTGGCCGGTGACCGAATGGGCCCGGGAGGTCTATCGACCTGGAGCATTTTAGCTTTTGTGTACTGTAGGACGAATATGCCATACCGCGCGGCGCCTGGATTGCCGCCGTAGGAGGTCCAGGTTATACATGGCCATGGGAAGCCTGGCCCGGTCCCCGGACCGGGCTCGGGCCTAGATTTTGAG